TTCAGAGGGTAGAATTCCCACCAGACTTAAAACAGCTATTGTAAGACCAATTTATAAATCAGGATGCCACAATTTATATCAAAATTACCGCCCTATATCAATATTATGTGCAATAGATAAAATAATGGAACGATACATATCCCTAAACCTGAACAGATATCTGACAGAGAATAACATTATAGATAAGTGTCAATATGGGTTTCAGAAAAACAAAAGCACAGAGTTATTACTGCAAGCATTTGCTAATAACGTAAATAAAGAGATAGATAAAGGAAATCAAATATTGGTTACATTTGTAGATTTTACAAAAGCCTTTGACACGCTGCAATTTGAAAAGATAATAGGATCGTTAAGGAGTATAGGAATAAGAGGTAGATTTCTTAATTGGTTTTCAGATTATCTGACATGTAGAAAATTGATAGTTAAAATAGAAGACATTACAAGTGAAGAAGTAGAACTTAAGTCAGGTGTGCCTCAAGGAAGTATTCTTGGACCTATATTATACATTATATATACAAATACCCTTCCCAAATATATTAAAAAGGCTAATACATACATGTATGCAGATGATACTGCTATTGTGGTTGCTAAGAAAGACATTAAAGAGGCTGAAGCAGATATGCAGAGTGCAGTAAATAACTTGTTAGAATGGTGTCATGATAATGGCCTTATAATTAACGGTAGCAAGTCAAAGGTTATTCATATTCATTCACCTGCTTTTCAGTGTTCCAAAGTAAATATTAAATACCACAGTTTTGACTGTTTACATTGCAACACTTACTCATTAGTTGATAATTGTTGGAAAATGTTAATAATTTTAAATATTTAGGTGTACATGTTGATCACAAATTTAAGTGGGACATACATATAGATTATGTTTGCAAAAAGATAAGATCATGTACTTTTAAGCTGTTTCATTTAAAATGTGTCTTGCCATACAATGTCTTATTGTTAATATACAGGTCCTTGTGTGAATCTGTGATACGTTATGGTTTACGGGCTTGGGGTAATGCCTCAATGACCCATCTAAAAAAAATAGAAAATATTCAGGAACAAACAATCAGGAGTATTGTACCTTTAGATGCAAGTCAACTGCCACCATTGGAAATTTTTCGATTCACCGATACTTTGCCTGTAAGTAAACTCTTCATGATCTTAATTTATACAGATTATTTATTTCAAAACGAGCTAAAACAGGTAAATAATCATAATTACAGGGTGAGAAGAAACTATTACAATGTTCCCAGATTTAAAAATAAATATGGTTGCAGGTCTCTAGAAGTCCTTGTACCAAAAATGTTCAACAACTTGCCAAATTATTTTTTTAATTTGACCACTTATCGAGCTTTTAAAACTAGTCTGAAAGAAAGAATGTGGAGTGGTTTAATATAGATACTGGTCTTTCTGTCAGTGAATGTTATCTGAATGTTTAAGTTATTATCTATTTATATAGTATAGGTAAAATAATACAAAAACACTCCATATAAACAACAAAATTTGTACATTCATGAAATTTCACCTGTGAGTTACTAATAATATGAGAAATGAAGATCCGATGAGTCCCCAAAATTTTGGGCGTCCTAATGCCCTTTTTGGGGCCCTTTTTGTTCCGAAGGGCCCTTGTTTCTGAATAATTTTGTTTTTACGTTTAAGGTCGAGTGAGGTGTGGTTTTCGATGGTTTTAGTTATTTTAAATCGATTGGGATTAGTTTTAAGTGTATTAAACCACTAAATACAGGGTGTTTCGAAATATTATTACTTTTTACGATATTTAAACATTTATTCATAAAGTGATAAAATTAGTTACCTCCATGCTCTATATAAAAGGGGATTATTGAAAATAACTGTAATTCTTTACTATATAAGAGGGAAGGATCACAAGGAGTAAGAGAAAATATTAAATACCCCCGTCACAGCAAACCTGCAGACTAAGCGAATTTTCATTTGCCCGATTTTCAATTAAATTTAAAATAGCATTGAGTTTAATGAATACTTAGGTTTGCTGCTACAAGGAGGCTAATAAAGTGTGTTTATAGTAAAATATTAATAGCCTTGTATAAAACAAATAAATTTGACAAGTTTTACTAAGACATATCTATATAAACAAACAAGCAAAATCATTTTACACTATTCTCCTTAAAAATAACATGGAATTTTAAATTTACAATTTTTGAATTTTATTCGTAACTGATACACTTACAAAACACGTTAATATACTAAATTATTTGTTTTCTTTAAGCTCTTTAAAATGATCTAGAGAAAAATTGGGAAACTTTGTCTTTTGAGGGCCAAAGAGTACAAATTTTTACCACATAAAACCCTGTTCCATGGACCGATTATGCCGGTTTCGTAAAAATTTAACCAAAATTGCTCGAGTTATCGTGTTTACGGACACGTATATAACATGGATATATTATATTATATATATGTATACAAACACATATATAATATTTTGAGTATGGTGCTTTAGGCTTCTGCGGGCATCGGAATGAAAACGTAAATCGGTTTCGGGTCTATGTTTTACCATAATGTTTTTACTATAATGTCTATGTTTAAGACCTTCGGTAATAGCTTATCTCCTATATGGGATGTTCGCTAAAAGGGGATGGATTAAGTTTTACACTATAACATAATAACATAGGTTACTAAGCAAAAATTTCAACTTTTAAGGTGGTGTGAATAATCTTTTAACGTGTTTTTTTATGTAAATCTATTAAGACCAATTTCAAATTGATAGTATGTATTTTTCTTAGGTAGTTATTTAGGTTTTTTTTTTATTTATTAAAAATTAAAACAATTGTATTTGTATAAAACCTTACATTACATATTAAAATGAAGCTAAAGCTAATTATTAGGCTAACTATTAAACTAAAGCTATTTTTCTACAATTTCCGTAGTATCTCTCTTTACAATTTCATCATCACAATAATTATTCTCAGACGACTCATTAACATTTTTATTATTCTTAGCAACTTGTCCATCTTTACTGATTTTGTCCAAGTTGGTGTTCAAGCGGGATTCCCCTTTACAAACCTAAAACCTTGCATATTGCAGAACAGGCAACACCAATCTTAAAGCACGAACAATGTGGTTCAAAAACACCTTTCATACATACTGACGTTTGCAACTTGTATCTTAAGTTCCTCAAACCTATTTTCAATCAATACAAGTACGGTTATCTTTCGTGGTTATGTCGACCAGGACAGCACTGACCAAGACATCAGAGCAGCATTGTCGGTACAAGAATTTTCGTCCTGAACAATGGGAACGAGGTTTATGGGGTAAAAATTGGGTTTTCTTATTTACTTTACCCTCAAAACACAAAGTTTCCCAATTTTTCTCTAGAACATTTTAAATAGCTTAAAAACAAATAATTTAGTATATTAAGGTGTTTTTGTATGGTTATTAGTTACGGATAAAAATACTAAAATTGTAAATTAAAAATTCCCATGTTATTCTTATGTAGAATAGTGTAAAATGATTTTGTTTGTTTGTTGATGGATATATTTTGATCAAACTTGTCAAATTTATTTGTTTTATACTAGGATATTAATATTTTACCATAAACACACTTTATTAGCCTCCTTGTAGCAGCAAACCTAGGTAATCGTTAAACGTAATGCTATTTTAGATTTAATTGAAAATCTAGTAGGTAAGTAAAACGGAAATTCGCTAGGTCTGCAGGTTTGCTGTGACGGGGGTATTTAATATTTTCTCTTACTCCTTGTGATCCTTTCCACTTACGTAGAAAAAGAATTACAATTATTTTCAATAATCCCCTTTTATATAGAGCATGGTGGTAACTAATTTGATTACTTTATGAATAAATTCTTAAATATCGTAAAAATTAATAATATTTCGAAACACCCTGTATGGTGTGGTTTAATACACTTAAAACTAATCCCAATCGATTTAAAATAACTAAAACCATCGAAAACCACACCTCACTCGACCTTAAACGTAAAAACAAAATTATTCAGGAACAAGGGCCCTTCGGAACAAAAAGGGCCCCAAAAAGGGCCTTAGGACGCCCTAAATTTTGGGGACTCATCGGATCTTCATTTCTCATATTATTAGTAACTCACAGGTGAAATTTCATGAATGTACAAATTTTGTTGTTTATAAAACCATATTTTACCTGTACTAATATGCTTGTTTCAGGTGTTGGCTATATTTGTTTCTGTTTTGTTAGATTTATAAATTTTATAAGATATTGTTATTTATTTGTTATAGTCTATTGTGCTGTTTCTCATTGTCTCTTGGTAATACTATTTATTTATTGTTATTTATTTATTGTTATTTTCATGAGATTTGGATTTAAATATCAGTGGTTTTTGGTAATATAATTATGCATGTAACTCTCAATGGAACACGTTAGGACACTCATAGAACTGTGTTGATTGCTGATTGAACTCAACTTTATATATTAATTAACTAAAAATGTTTTTCATAATATGTTGGTGCAGACAAGCCTTGTATGGTTTTTGCACCTATTGTATAATATGCATGTATTCATTATAGTTCAATAAATAAATTGATTGATTGATTGATTGATTGATTGATAGGCCTACTCGTCGGACCTACGGAGTCAATCTAAAAGTTAGGTAAAATTTCCAAAACACTTTAACAAAGGTGAGGATGACGAAAGCTCCACCTGAGCTTCTGCAGGATTTCCTGAGCACCTCTAAAGCTCTAAACCTTAATTTGAATTAAATAATTAATAAATTAATTAGTCAAAACTGTGGAACAACTTTTGTATCTATCCCTGGATTTTGTCGGTTCTTTCTGAGTACTCCTGGGAAGAAATTAGAGAGTGGCTTGGTTCTAGGGGTAGGCCTAGCCTGTTCAGTAAATACAATTGTATTCCCCACTCAGAATTTACGTCAAAAACTATTTTTACTCTAATACTGATTTGTTGACTAAATCTATTGCATGCACCCATGTTTGAATATGATAATTTAAAATTCGTTGCTCTTGATATTATAACTCACTCCACTAACCATAGGCGTTCTCTGGAAGAATGCTGCAGAACCAGCGGAAAGCGTTGTACATTTCTGTCCGAGTTAGGTTGTGCAGTGCTACAACATGGAAGCCGAGACGGGACAATATTGAGGCGAGAACTGCGACGTCATTACTGGGAGCATGCAGCCCTTGCAGTTCTGCATCGAGGTAATCCTCGTTGCCTATCAGCAAAGCCACCTTGGCACTTGCTAGTGGACAGATAAAATATTTAAATTTACATTTTATATTGAACATTGGGTTGATTTACTTTGACAATTCCCTTTGGTTCCTTAGTGGGACTTTGATGGAACTGCAACATCTGTCTCTGTCACCAGCTATTTAACAAAATATCAAGACTATTACAATCTTCATTTCTTTGCGACGACAAAGTGGTCAGTGACCATGAAACATATAAATTTTGTGTCCAAAGAGGGAGCCTACCAGTAGACCGACAAGATACTTTGTCGTCTGGCCACTAGACCGTCTTTTTTAATTAAATAGATAAATGCTGAAAACCAGTACGTCGACAAGTTATTTCATCGTCAGTCAAGTTGACCGGCCTGTAAAACTAAATTATTATATTCGAGAAACCAACTTGTCGTCAATCCTCCCGACCGACTTACCACTTGCTCGTCTTTTAGGTGGGGATAGGGGGCAGAGTGGGAGGAGCTAACCGGGGATTACCCAGGAGTTTGAGGCGCTTCTCATGGTTGAACCACCTCACTCGAGGCTAGAAGCCAGTATTGCCAACTGAAAGTACTATAGCTCCGTCGAACACTACACACGCGGCGTGTTTACACAGTCTGGCGTTAAGTTGACGTTGGCGCGCAATTCTCGTTGCGTCGTTTCTATAGCAACCGTGCCGTGACATTGTCCTTGGTCTCGCGCATTCCTCTGCCTTTGTATTATTTAATCTGCATCGAAAGATAAGACTCGCTTATATGCATTGACTATTAAGTCAATTAAAAATTTCATTCGTTGTTTTTGATCGTTTGTTTGGATAAAACTACGTACCGTATATCGTAGAATTAAATTTGTAGTGTGGTTATATGGTATTATGGTATATATATATATATATCCTACTAATCCTACTAATATTATAAATGAGAAAGTTTGGATGTATGGATGTATGTTTGTGACAAGTAAACGCAGAAAATACTGGCCGGATTGGGCTGAAATTTGGTGTGATGATAGCTCACATTCCCGATTAACATATAGACGCATTCTTATCTCAAAAGTCCGTTCGGGCTCCGCCCCAGTGGCTCTGGAATTTCCCATGTTAACCTTATGAGTAATATTTAAAACGAATAAAAGAATTTCGTCAGCTGTTTCAAATACACAAGTTGGTTCTGTGATATTAAATTCGCATTAACAAGTTATAAAGTTTACTGACAGGGCACAGTACTATTAATTTAAATGAATATATAGAATAATCCATAGCCTATATCGATATTTTTCATTGTTATGAGTGTAGGACAGATACTAAAGTGCAGCCAAATTTTGTTTCTAAAAGTGGTAGCCTATATGTGTAACTATTTTATACAACAAATGTAAAGATCAAAATGTTTGTATTTTGTGTCTTCTTCCCGTTGCAAAGCACGGGTACAACAGCTAGTATATACATATATATACATATATATATATGTACCAGGTTTTGCGTTGGATTTTTCGTCAGTTTCGTCATTGAGCTCTCTCGTAGTAAGTTGTATCACTTGCGTCTTGTTCATGTTCTGTGGCATATTTTGTATCACTTGCTTCCTGAGACGTATCAGAGTGGTGGAAACTGGTCCACGACGTAGAGGAAGTGGAGGGAAGTTGCAAAGGCAAAAGGTCTGGAGTGTGGGAAATGCCAAGCGACTATAGAATAATACAAAACCATGCTTAAAAATGCTTAGGGAGTGATGGAAATAGGCCCACGACGTAGAGGAAGTGGAGGGAAGTTGCAAGGACAAAAGGTCTGGAGTGTGGGAAATATAAAGTGACTATGGAAATATACAACACCATGCTTAAAAAGGCTTGAGGAATGATGGAAACAGGTTCACGACGTAGAGGAAGTGGAGGTAAGTTGCAAGGACAAAAGGTCTGGAGTGTGGGACATGTCAAGTGACGATGGAATTATACAACGCCATGCTTAAAAAGGCTTAGGGAATGATGGAAACAGGTCTGCGACGTAGAGGAAATGGAGGCAAGTTGCAAGGGCAAAAGGTCTGGAGTGTGGGAAATATCAAGTGACAATGGAATAATACAAAACAATGCTTAAAAAGGCTTAGGGAGTGATGGAAACAGGCCCACGACGTAGAGGAAGTGGAGGGAAGTTGCAAGGGCAAAAGGTCTGGAGTGTGGGGAATATAAAGTGACTATGGAAATATACAACACCATGCTCAAAAAGGCTTGAGGAATGATGGAAACAGGTCCACGACGTAGAGGAAGTGGAGGCAAGTTGCAAGGGCAAAAGGTCTGGAGTGTGGGAAATATCAAGTGACTATGGAAATATACAACACCATGCTTAAAAAGGCTTGAGGAATGATGGAAACAGGTCCACGACGTAGAGGAAGTGGAGGGAAGTTGCAAGGACAAAAGGTCTGGAGTGTGGGACATGTCAAGTGACGATGGAATTATACAACGCCATGCTTAAAAAGGCTTAGGGAATGATGGAAACAGGTCCGCGAAGTAGAGGAAATGGAGGCAAGTTGCAAGGGCAAAAGGTCTGGAGTGTGGGAAATATCAAGTGACAATGGAATAATACAAAACCATGCTTAAAAAGGCTTAGGGAGTGATGGAAACAGGCCCACGACGTAGAGGAAGTGGAGGGAAGTTGCAAGGACAAAAGGTCTGGAGTGTGGGACATGTCAAGTGACGATGGAATTATACAAGGCCATGCTTAAAAAGGCTTAGGGAATGATGGAAACAGGTCCGCGACGTAGAGGAAATGGAGGCAAGTTGCAAGGGCAAAAGGTCTGGAGTGTGGGAAATGTCAAGTAACTATAGAATAATACAAAGCCATGCTTAAAAAGTCTTAGGGAATGATGGAAACAGGTCCACGACGTAGAGGAAGTGGAGGCAAGTTGGAGGGTGGGAAATGTCAAGTGAATATGGAATTATGCAAAGCCATGCTTCAAAAGTCTTAGGGAATGATTAATAATTAAATTAATTTAATTAATAATTAAATTGAATCTAAATTATTGCATACAATTATTATCTGGACAGAGGTGGCAGTGCCATAGTGCGCGCAGAATGCTTCTATTGGGAATTTTTCCTTCCTACTTGGACGTCCTGCAACCTTATTTACGATGTGCCGCAATTTTCTGGAGTCTCCGTCTGCATCTTCGATTTTATTTTTTTTTTAACTGTACTTGGCTTGTTTAATGACTTGAGAATATTCCTATATCCTGTCCGTGCTGTATGAAACTGACCTGTGCTGTATGAACTTGGTCAAACTACAGCACAGACAGTAGAAGGACAAGGATATAGGTTACATGAGCCTGATAATAGATAAGGAACTCTTACACTATAGCTGTCTCCCGGCATGTCTCTGAATTTTACTTTATAAGGAATAAGGATGTAGGTTTGAAATACCTTTAAACATTAAATCAAGAGGACAAATTGTATCAACTGTTGAGAATTTAATTGAAAATACTGTAAGACTGAAAATATGATTTTCTGGGTGAAGAAAGTTGTCTAAATTTGAGATTTCAAAGTCCCATAACTTTCGAACGCCTCAACCCATCAGTATGGGAATAAGTATACAATGTATATGATTTAAATCTCTACAATATCTGACCAAAAAAACAGTATGTCATCATGACTCATATCATGGTTGTATGTTGTATGTATAGTGTCCTATGGTCTGGCAGAGGCCTGACGTCACATGGAACTGTCACTGTAGGGGGTCTTTAGCTCTTTCCTGCTTTAAAACTCTCAATTCTTGGGTAAACTATAGGTTTTTTTTCTTATTACCTTGCTCCAACTAGTACTCTTTTGATGGTATGAGGTTTTAAAAAGTTTATAGTTATTAATTAGAATATTATTCACGCCTGAATATTTATTATTTTCTGTTCAGTTGTGGCTCAGTAGTTGCGATGCTAACACCATGGCAAAAGAAGGTTTTAGCCATGTACCTAGTATGGAGGCGAAGAAAAAGAAATAATAATAGCTGATTTGGGTTCACACAATACTTAATAATCGGCACGAGTTTGGGGCATCCAGGGTGTTATTACTCCCATAGCCCTACGCCGGAAACTAGCTATTACAGCATGGCAGTTCATGAGATATTATTTAATTGTAATAAAAAAAAATATTACTCTTTCAGTTCTGGGTAAAATGCAGAGCAATGCTAAAGTGGTACGTCAACTTCGTATTACGTTGTCATGAAATAACAACTTAAAATTTAATGATTGACAAACCCTTTTCTAAAATTGACCAACGTTAAAATGTAATTACAATGCATAAGTAACAATATCGAATACATAATACTGGGGTTATTAAAGTGTACAGCTGGCTAATCATTCAAATAGACTTAATTTTAGTTGTAAAATGTGTTAAAAAATTAGATTTCCCTTGTTAATTATAATGAATTGTTAATGTTGATTTATTATAAGTGAACAAGGAACACAAAAGGATATATAAGACAAAAGACCCTAATATATGGCATAAAAACACAAACAAGACATTGCAGTAGTGTACAGTGTGTGATAGTGGTACGCCTACAATAACAATTGTTTTTATTAAAGTAAGATTTTTTTATGATTTTCTAAATATTAAACATTGTTAATTACTAACATTGGCATAAATATTAAACAAACTTTAAAACACTCATTTAAACTTTATGTTGACTTACAGGGTCGGCTACTCAAACATCTTTATTTTTTACAGTTGTTACAAACTGCATATTAGCGTCAAAACAATTATCTTATTAGAATATTTAATCACTAGGACCTCAAGTGACTCTTTTTGACCCGAGGTCAAGTTTTACGACCTAGGCAAAGCCGAGGTCGGTAAATGAGCGAGAGTTGAAAATTGCCCGTGTGGTGAACTATATTTTTCGTCATATGCATCATTAATTAACAAACTAAACTAGAAAACGAATAAGGTTTTGTGTATAGATAACCTATCAAAATGAGCTTGTTTTCAATTCTGCTATAGCAAATAAGCAGCTGTTTAGCAATGGATTCAATCATTTCATCTATTACGATTGGTACATTATACCATA